GAGAGAATATTACCAAATGCTGAAAATGTGTCATACAGTGCCTTATTATCAATGGATTTGTCCAAATTTTTTATGAAAATGTTGCCCACTCCACTTTTACGGAGCGCTGGATCACGCTGAGACCACATGATGCGGACTGGCTTGCCCTTGATAACATCAAAATTCATGGTGGTCAAAGCACGCTCAGCATCCGCTTGCTGCTGAAAGTTCACATAGGCGTAGCCCAAGGAGCGGCGGGTGACAATGTCCCTACAGACCCTGATGGAGAGGATGAGTCCAGCACGGCTGAACTTCTCATAGAGCATCACCTCGGTCACGTCCGGATGTAGGTCCCCCATGTAGAGAGAGGCCCTGGGATATCTGGGGGCGCTGGGGTTCATCTCAGTATGGCTGTTTACAGGACCACAGGCCGTGACCTTACCACGAGAGAAGTGCAAGTGCTGGAGCGCAGGCTGGTGCCGGAGCCAGAGTTGAGCTCAACAAAGCGCGGAGTGGAGATCTAAAACCAACAGAAATGCTTCACATTACCCGTCTGCCTTTGCGTCTTAAAAGGCACTTTCAGAAACTACGTGATGACATGAGGGCATCACAAAGTGGAAATTCTGAAAGCTTGGGTCACTCCTATTGTGACATCACTTGCCTAAAGGTACAGGGCACCTTTAAGCCTCTTACTGTGGCTTCCGTTGCTTAAAGGTACAAAGACACAGCAGCTCCAGAGACAGCATTCTGAACATGCAGGCTGTAAAATTTATTTCTAATGATATACCCTTTTCATACTTCAAAGTCTTACAGAAGTTGAAAAAAACAGTATCATAAACACCATTTACCTCCTAGCTTAAAATATGATAAATTTATGACCAATTTTATCTCATTCGTACTTCCATCCACCACCCTTCTTCACTAGTATTATTTTAAAGAAACTTTATTCACTGCATCATTCACTCTTTAACTGCTTCAATATATGTTTTCATAAGAACAAACTCTCTTTTAAGACATTATATGAGGATGTCACAGGATCAGACACGTTCAGATCTGTTCTTCCTGAGATTGCTATGAGTCATACTCTACAGCACCTAACAACATTATTATTATTATTATTATTATTATTATTATTATTATTATTATTATATCATCTCTTATTTATTATATCTTATATCTTATTCTTATATTACCAAATATATGAGCACAAAATCTTTTATATCATCAAATATCTTCTTTTTTTATTAAATTTAATTAATTTTAATGAACATTTACATAGATTTTGGGTTTCCATTCATTCATTGCTACACTATTTTCTCTACCCTCCCCTCCAGTTTGTTCCTCTTTTTTTTTCGCCCTGAAAGTCTGTTTCAATTGTCCCATTGCCACAGTGCGTGTCAAAGCCAGTTCGGATTAATCTCCTTTGTCAGTGTGTCCTTTGCCATTCCCTATCACTCCTCCCTGAGAGAGACTTCACCCTGATTCATAAGGAAAAGGGGATGGCGTATTCT